GGGGCAAAGCTAAAGGCCAGAGTGAGTATGGATCTCTCATCTATATCTTTCTCTTACTATTGTCCTATATTAATAATGCATGCAAATATATGTATCTATCCGCTGCTTATGCAACAACATAACAAACAAAGAATGTGTGCTTTACCTTTGACATCCCAGGCATTCCAAGATTAGTAATACAAATACCCAAAAATTTGCAGGCTCGAGATTTGTGATGAAAAAGGCCTACACATTGATCACAAGTACCTTCTTAACCATGGACCAAGAAGAAACAGAAAAATAAAGTGCTGTGCACTAAAGAGACTTAAAATTGTAAGTACCTTTCCAGCAGCAGAGACCATCCGAAATTCTAAAGCTTCTTCTGCACAGATATGAGCATGAGTAACATTCTCAACGTATGTGAAATCCGACATGTTTTCACCACTCCCTATAATAAACTGAAATGAGAATCTCTGTTACTTCAAAAAATACTGAAAATAACTTGTGTATGAAGAATTATAAGATATTAAACCACATAATGACCAAGATACCAGAGATAGGGCAAGGGAGGAGATATCATAATTGGTGGTATGCAAACATCAATTATGTGTGATTATTAAATAAGGCTCCAAATTAACAAAGTGTACGTGAAACAGTACATAGGATGAAATGAACGGATAGTTAAAAAAACCTTTCCCCAGCCAGATTTTGCCAAATTCACTAAAAATGGCACAAGATGTGTGTCTCCAGGTCCAAATACATTGCTAGGACGAAGCACACACGTTAAAAGACCATCAATGTCATTAGAAAGCAGGATAAGTGATTCTGCTTGAGCCTTGAGGTCGCTCAATATATCATCAAACTGTATCAAGCATAATAAAACTAAGTTAGAAAGAAATGTTAGCAGATTGAAAAGTAGGCAGTGCTCCACTATAAACACGAAGAAAGTCCCTCGCCAGTGACATACTTCCAAGGGTATGCCAAAGATTCGTCTCCATTTAATATATCTTTCGATCCATCAAAAACTACATCAGCAGAACTATTGTATATTAACCGCCTAACTTTGCACTCTCGACAAGCACTGATGACATTTTTTGCACCTGCGCAAGAATTTAAGTTGACAGTAACCATCTCTTCCTCCAAAATATACATTGCAAAAAATCTGATTGTTTCTTCATTAATAGGGATTTACCTTGAACAACAATCATATAGCACTGGTAGAAATCATGTGTGGGTAAATCATCTCCATCCAAATAGAACACTACAGACGAACCTTCAATGGCTGCAAGAGATGAGGTCATAATATGGCAATTAATTTCTGAACTCAGAGCTTTGATATAATAGGAAAATACCACAAATGCCTGAAATGGCAACCAGGAAGCAGTGCAACAGATATCTAAGGAGAATCATTAAGCTAAGACAGATGTTATAAACTAAACCTGCTCTTATTACTTTACCCTAATTTCACAGATTGGAGCAACAAAACATAAAATGTAAAACACTTTTAATCTCTAGCAACCAAACACTACCTGAGTAACATTGGAGTCAAAATCGAATCATAAGTTTTTGATCAATAAGACATTCATATTTAAGTTTAGCCCTCTTCCTCCATTCCTTCAGTCTGGTTTCCGAATCCTCTAGAGTTTTTTTTTTTTTTTTCATAATTTTTTTCGATGATTTCAAGAATTTTGCACCAGCAGATACTTATAATCATGGATAAATACTAATATTTTCCACCTCTGATCAACTTTTCATGTATTAATTTTGCAAATTCTCTGCAATCCTTTAAACGAATTACTGAAAACGAAGTAATGAACCAAAACCTAGCATTTCATGCTTAGAACCAGTCCACTCAATCAACAAAATGCATCACTTCAGTCGTAAGCCAGCCTACCATTTGATTTCATCATTATTTTCTCTCTCTCATTCTCATACAACAACCAAGCAAGAACACACAAAACGGAAAATAAACGAATAAAACAAATTTCAAAAAAAAAAAAAAAAGTTTTATTTTACCAGTGATGATTTGAGACGTGTCGCGGACATCGACCCCGTGTAAGGAAGCGCGGCCGGAGGAGAGAGCTTGCGAGAGGAGGGAGTCGCGCTCGGACGGATCGAGCTGGAGGGACGGAGTCGAATCGGCAACGCGAACGATCCACTTTCCGATATTCAAGAGCCGGAGGACGAGCGATCGCCCGATGAATCCTCGGCCGCCTAAGACGACGCAGGTTCTGGGCTTTGGGTTGAGCTCCGCCAGCCGATCGTCCATCGCCATTTTCTCCGATAGAGGGCGAGGGGGTGCTGTGTTTGGCGCGTAAATTAGTGTGCTTATGCGAGAAAATAGTCAGTGGGTGAGTCACTGGTCAGAGAGAGAGTGAGAGAGAGGGGAGAGAGAGAGAGTTGTTTGCTCCTTACGCTTTTGAGGTGGAGTGGGGACCCAAATAGTGCGGCTTAGTGCTTTCGGTTGTACTGAAACTCGATTGCGATTTTCGACCAAAAAAAGATTCGAGTGCGATAGACAGTCACGGTGGTTGGCTGGCTCGTTTTTTAATTAGTATTTTGTTGAGGTCTTTTTTTTTTAATTAAGTTACTTAACCATTGTTTAATGGGTTCGACTTTTATACTCCGTATCGTTAAATGATATGATTATTAATATCGTTAGATCGAAATTAGACCGTCAATTATCCATATCATTTATAGATACAGAACATGGAAGGACAATTCTAATTCCACAAAGATAATTGAAATTATTTTTGTTCTTTTTCTCCTGAGTAATGAAATTATTATAATTCTTTTTTTCTATGTGTTTATGCGAACGTTAACTATAAAAAGTATGTAACATATAAAATTTAGCATCAAATATCTGAAAAATCAGTAATCATATCAATTGTGGAAGTTAGTTGAACACATACATCATTCTTTTTTTTTTTTCTTGATTTATGATTTTTCTTATTTCAGATAAGTAAATATTTTAGTTAGAGAACATTTCAGATTTGACTCGTATGAATGCTCAGACAAGTGATTCGGGAGAGGCTCCACTACAATAGCTTGCTACTGGGATCTTCGTGTTTCGCCCAAGTCCTGCACAACTGCTCCGACTAGCACACCCCAACTAAAAAAAATGCTAGGACAAGTGGGCTACACTTGTTGTAGTGAGTTTGGATGTTGATGTGAATGCAAAACTTAATTGGCTAGTCCTGCCGTGTCTACATACTTGTCGTGAAAACAACCACATATGGTGGTAATTCATGTTAATAGGTCGTTTTTGTGTTGTGCTATTTTTTATGTTAAAAACTAGTCGATCAAAATAGCATCTCCAGCGAGCTTGCAATTGCCTTTTATGTTACAAAGTTCAAACACACTTACAAATTAAACATTTAAATTAAACAAAAATCTATAGCAATAAGGATATGTGGGGACAAGATGAAAAAAAAAACATAAAAAAAAATATGTTTATGAATAGTAGTTGCCCTTGCCCTTCCTTCTTTCAAACGAGTGGATTTGCACAAAGACAATTACTGTTTAGAGTGAATAGTCATTGCTCTTACTCTTCAATTGCCATTGCTGATGAAGATGCTCTCAAGCTCATCCATTTTCATTTGATTTCATAAAGTTCTCTAAACCTTAAACCCTTTTGATTCTCTTTCTCTTTTTTTTTTATTTGTGACTCTTTGATTATTATAGGATCCATTTAATTTTGGATAAGAATTTCCTTTTCAAGTCAATACTACTTTTTCGTATTGTTTTTTAGTGGAGACAAATTGTCTGCCCTCCTATTTGGGTGTCCTTCTCATCCTCTTCTATTTGTACGGTCATGGTTAAGCCACATCAACATTTTATGTTCATATTCCTTTTTGTCTTATTATCTCTATAAAAAAATTAATATTAAATGTTGACGTGCTTAACCGTGACCACACAAAATAGGAAAGATGGGAAAGACATCCAAATAGGAGGGCAGACAATCTGCCTCCTTTTTCTGTACCTTGAATGGTAAATCTAACAAATTTAAGTTGTTGAAATGAATTTCAAATGACTTACAAATTATAGGACTATCAACTAGGTATTGATTATCCGGCAAGAGCAGTATATATCACTTTTATTATAACATGTCACAAGTTGTTGTGCGTTGACACTAATACAGATACATAAGAGCTCAACAGAAATTGAGATCGCCGAATGCGATCAAATAAGAACTGAATTTTCAGTCTTGCTTCACTTTCTCTCTCCCACTTCCTACTTTTCCCTTTTTTTTATTTTAATTTCCATTCAATTAAAACTCCATTTTAATTCGAATTTTTTTTTATTGTCATATATTTAAACACACACGTAGTGTGAAACTTTTATCCAACATATATGAGTTAAGATCCGGTGACACATTTTGACACACGTTTTGTGACTTCTATTTCATAACTTAAAAAAAAAAAAATCCGAACCGTCTTATATTTCAATTCATCATTCATAGATTATCTTTGTAAAAAATTAGACAAATCTCAAATCATTAAAACATTAATTTGTAGTGTAAAAAAAAAAAAAGGCAAATACAATTATACCGAGGAAACACTAAATTTAATGGACGGTCCATATGAATTTGAAATTGATTGATCTTTGGTAGAGATGATTTTTGAGAAAAAAACATGCGTTTTGATAGACAGATTGTTGAAATACATTACAAAGTGAGCTCCACAAAAACATGCAATAAAATGTGTCCTGGGTGATGCTATAAGAGATCAAATTTTGAAATCATATTTTATATATCACGTAATGCAACGATTGATGGTCAAAGTCCTTTAAATCATTAAAAAATGAGCTTAACCATCAACCCCACATGGTTTACAAAAGATGATACAAAAACTTGGTCTCCCAAGCATTTTCCTAATTTTATATATATATATATATATATATATATATATATATATATATATTTGGTGAGACGTAGTGGGAAGGGAGGTTTGGTTTTGGTGAACCAATTCCCCCGACTGCACATCCCATGCAGTTTCCAAAAGGACCGAGAACTCTTGATGTATGGGCAAATGCACATATCGTAGCTGTACTTAATTTCACAAAATGCTTGGGTTATGTCAATCTTAATATACAAACAAAACTTGTTCCCAAAAAAACAATACTGACAAGCATCAAAACGCATCCTTTGCTTGGCGTATGACACCCAAGGCTTCCGCATCATTCGCCGTGTCTGGAATATTCAACGACTGTCGAATCTCTCGACTTGATGTGCGAAGAAAAGGATTGCATTCCTTTTCCAGTTTTAATCTGGTTGGAACCTGTTATGTACACCACAAAAGAGTTTGAGGTCACTTGGACAGTAATTTAATGAAAATTGCCAGTGAACGTAGGATAAACAAAGAAAATTTTCATGCTCGCCACGAATTCTAGACATATTTACTGCATGTGGTGCAATAGCCTTAGACGATGAACTGAATGGCATGCACATGCTCGCTGCCTGATTAAAAACTGACATGCGTACAGGTGAGTTACATTGTTGTTTTGTTCCTGAATAGCTAAGGCTTTTCTAACCCGATTCAAAGTCACAATTCACAAATTTCTCTCAAAAGACTACTAGTTCAAAGAAAAGAAGCCTTTAAGTTTCGGGCCTTAAGCAACCGGAAACCAAAAAAAGGGAAAAAGGAAGTCCTTGAGTTTACCGTAGGCATGCCCTTGTTGCGAAGATGGGTGACATTAGCTGCATAAGACTGAAGTGCCTCATTCTCAGGTTCTATGGACAAGGCGAACTTTGAGTTACTCTGTCAACAAAGGTTCTCTTCCTGTCAGGGCGTGGCTTTAAAAAATTCTGTAGGCCACAAAAAGAAACTGAAAGGATAGTATGACTAACCAAGGTATATTCATGACCACAGTATACATCTGTGTCATCTGGCAAAGACGTGATCTTTGTAAGGGAAGAATGCATCTGTCACAAAGAAAAATCAACTGTTTGAGTACCGTAACCACGGAACAAGGACATAAAAAAATGCATGCCAAACTCACCTGCTCAGGTGTTCCTTCAAACAACTTTCCACATGATAAGCTGAAGAGAGTATCACCTGTAAAAATTGCCCCTGATCGAGGAAAGTAGAAGCTAATGTGACCTGCTTCCAATGAAGAACAAAAGAAAATATTAGAAATAAATAAAAAAGGGAGGGTGGATCATCTGTAATGTAATGACATTTGGAACTACAACTAAGAAGCTACTTTGAAATGGATGGACTACAATTTTTGGTCACAAATTTTACTTAGATACTAAAGGTTGAAATAGGCCTAGAAAGGGGCCAGTGGGGGTACTAACCACGATCCTAGACTCTAGATTTGAGATTATGCTTAGAAATTATTTTATAACTATTAGCATGAAACTTTATATAAAGCACCAACAGGATGCTGCTCATATACAGAAGAAACATACAAATCTAAAGTGTAATGAAACAATAAAATCTAAAGCAAAAAAAGCATATTTCATGGTATGCAGTCATTGTGCTTGAGGAAGATAAACTGGCAGGTGAACTGCATTACAAATGAAAGAAACTTGAAGGGTTCTTTGAGGAAGAATATCATAAAGTAGGAAGGGTGTAACATGCACTTAACCGAAGAGTCAGTCGTTCAGAGAATTAATTAAACACCAAAAATAATCAGAAAATTAATTAAACACAAAATAACATATCAAGAAACTAAATTATTCAGCGATGAGTGTCCAAATGCAGCACATATAGTCATACTTGAGTAGAATTTTTGGATGAAAAAGGGATGTTGATTAGGAAACCTCAAGTGATTTTTTGAATGTAAGTAATGAATTATGACCTCTAGTATGACCAGGAGTCTCCATAACCTGCACCTCGTGCCCTGCAAACATCCACTTGTCTCCATCATTCAAAGCAATATCAATGCCAGGAATTCTATCCCTGTCTATTCCTGAACCAATCACCTACAAGCAACAATGGGATGAATAAACATGCAGAAAAGAAAAAATTCCGAGCCTAAACCACTTTGTTGAAGAAAAAACTATTCCATAAAGCTAAATGCAACAACAATCAAACATAAATAAAAAACAAAACGGCAGTTTTAAATTGTTGCCGGACCAAAAGATCTAAGTTAATGTTACCATACCTTTGCACCGTACCTTGCCTTTAACTCGGCATTACCACCAGTGTGATCATGATGATGGTGTGTGTTCAGTATGTATGTCAGATTTCTGTTTTTCCGACTCAAAGCATCTATAACAGGTACAGCTTCAGAAGGATCAACAACACCAACTGTTCCAGTATCCTCATCATGTAAAAGATAAGCATAGTTATCTCTAAGACATGGCACCTGAGAATTACAAGATGTGCAACTTTAACAACAAATGTATCGATAATGTTTTTCAAATCACTCTATATTGCTTAATGATCCTTAAAATGTTCAGGTGATTAAGGAAAACATTATCAACACACACACACACACACGAATCCATTACAAGTCCCAAAATCAAATATCAGGTTACATCAAAATTAAAAAAAAACAAGTTTTTAGAATATCTGCGGACAAACCGTAATTTCCATTTTCCAAAGCCACAACTCTTTCTGCTATCTTTGTAACAAATGCAGATGTTCCCATAGATATTATAGTTTCACCAAAGTTCCATAATAAACCACCAATATTTCTATCAGTTATCGGAGATGTATCCTTAAAACTGGCTGTCGCCCCAGAAATACAGATATGAAAGTAGGGAATCCCCGAGTCATAGATGGTTTAAATGCAAAATAATAGAGAGATCTACTCACCAATTCAATATGTAACGAGGGGGACATATTAACAACACTGCAAAATTTAGCGACTTTAAGCGATCGACTAGCTCCCCCACGCAGAGTTTTTAACGGTGTCGACAATAGGTGCATGAATCCATACAGAAGGCCCTTTCCAAGGCAAAGCTGTCTCATGCCCGGCCATATGCAGAACCCACTCCTCCCCTAACATACAAAAGAAGGGTTTTCAAGTTCAAATAAAAAGAAATATTACATGCACAGATACAGCAACAATAAGCCACTTCCTGTCCTTCTCACAAGAACAACAAAAGCAATTTTGAAGCTTTGCATCCCATATATATATCGATCGAACCGAAATCTCAAAAGAAATGAAAAAACAGCAAAACCCATTTGCCTAGATGAAGCATAAAATTGTAAAAAGGTACCAAATTTGGCATTGACATCAGCCAAAGTCCTTAAGTTTCTCATCCTTACTCTAAAACCAAACATTCGGATCAGTTTACTAAAAGCGGCAGCCTCTAACCCTTAAAACCCAATTTGCAAATAACCACAAATAGATATAGCAAAAAAGCATCAAACCAAAACGCATTTGCCTATAAATTTGCAACAATCGCAACCTATGCAATTAAATTGCATAAATACAGAGATACACAAGAAAACATGAGTATAACTATCGAAAATTTGGACAAGAAGGAGCGGAATTTAGCAGAGAAATGAGAAATCGAATCAGAAAATTTGGGAAAGGGAAATGAAAGTAGTAAAAAGCAGAGAGAGAGAGAGAAAGACAGAGAGGGACGAACCCTAGTGCAAGGGAGGGAGGCCATGGCGCAAGAGGCCTTGGATACCATCTGCATCTCTCTCAAACTCTATCTCCCTTACTCTTCTTGTTCAGGAGAGAGAGGGGAGGAGAGAGAAATGCGTAATTGCCCTGGGGTTGTGGTTGTGGGTTGGCACTTGGTAGTTGAGCACTCAATTGTCAATTCTCTCTCTTATTTTTTTTCCTTTTTCCGTTATTTTTGCTATAAATTAGTTTTTTTTTTCTTTTTTTTCTTTTTTTGAAATTGAAGGTAGGCTTTGGCTTCTTTTGCCATCGTTCATCCCCACTACCGCCACCAAAGGCTACCACCCATTTTTCTAAAAAAAATAAAAAATAAAAAATACCACCGTCCGTGGGGCTAATTTAGTGTTGTGCTTTGTAAAATAAATTATTTTTATTTGGAAGTGTTTTTAAAATAAATGAAAGTCTTTTTAGGAAAAATATTTTTGGATTTCAAAAGCATTCGAACTACTTCCTACAAGAAGCACCAATTATGTGCTTTTTACAGGAAGCAATTAAAGTGTTTTTTAAGGATTTATTTGTAAGTATTGGTTTCAAAATACTTTCACCAAAAATACTTTCAACTATTTTAAAAATACTTTTAAACAAGCATGAAGTAAAGTATTTGTAAATTATAGCTGTAAAAGTACTTTAAAAATAAAAAAACAAAGTTCTAATATTTGGTATATTTTTATGTAGACAGTTATGATTGTGTAAAATAATAAAAATAAACATAAAAGTTTTGGCTTTTCTTCATCTTACCTTTTTTTTACCATCTTTCTTTCTCTTTCTGTCAGAAAAGTTCTTGACATTTCTTCCTTTTTTGTCATTTTCTTCCTTTTTCTTTTTGTCATAAAGTTTCTGAGTTATGGGCCCATTTATTTTCCTTCCAATTTGGGCTTATTGGAGTTGGCCTGGCCCAATAAATTACTTCCTTCCAGAAGCATCCAAATGTGGGTTATGTTAGTGGAACTTTACCCAAAATAGTTGACAGCAACTGCAAGTCTAACTTCGGCCGGCAATGGTTTCCAGCAGAAAAATGAGAGAGCCAAAGATGAAGCTTCTTCTTCGAGCTCTGCAGCTTCTGCTTCCACTTCTAATCCTCCACTTCCGTTCCGCCACCTCTGAAATCTTCTTCGAAGAGCGATTCGAAGGTAAGATCTTTTTCTTAGAATCCAAACAGGATCCAAGTCTTTCAAGTTTGATTGCTTAGATTAGTAGCCAAAGCAGTGATCTGGAGAGCTTCTAGTTGTCTTCTGAAATGCTTGAGTTGTTGCACCTTGTTTGGCATGTGAGAAACTGGAAGGAGATTAAAGATCATAAATTATTTGTTTATTGGGCTTGTTAAGAAACTGTCAATTTTGTGTACCTCAATCAGTTAAGTATGGTAAAACATACCTGAAACATGCTCGATTTTTCGGGTTATTATTTCTTGCTTTTTTTGTGTTGGCTCTGAATTGCTTCAGCGTTTTTTTTTTCTATCTGCTTTTGGATTTGATGAAATGTTTCCTTTAACCGGAAAAAAAATCAGTGGAGTATGAGATATTGTGTCTGTATGAGTGTTATTGGAAAACTATTTGATTAGTTGAGCACTAGGGTTTATCGTTTGTTTAGATTTTTAAACTTTCTGATGTATTGTAATCGTTGTTGCGGAAAAAAGATGGGTGGAAAAGCCGCTGGGTCTTATCAGACTGGAAAAGGGCAGAAGGAAAAGCAGGAACGTTCAAGTACACTGCAGGGAAATGGCCTGGGGATCCTGATGATAAAGGTATCCCTGCAACCTTTTAGCTTATTAGCTCTGTTTCAGAATACATTTCATTGATTTTGCGTTGAGCTGGAATTGATGAAGTGCGAGGTTGCTTGATTGATCATCTGTTGCAAATTTGATATGATGCTTTAAAATTTTCGGTTATTAGTTCTAAAGAAAATCTGAACTGGTACTATAATCGGCACCCTATAATTTATGGGTGGTGCTATCCACACACACCAAGTTAATTTTTGCGACTCTGTCCTTTGATCCTGTTCAATTCATTCGATTTGACGGCGGAAATTGAGAGAGGTGTGTGGAAGGTAAAAGGGTGTGTGTGGATAGGACAACCCTAATTTATTAATATGACAGTTATAGTAGTTTATGGAGAATGTGAGTCATAAATGATCTCAGTACTCAGTTGTTAATTCCTGTGTTTTATTTAGTTTGATGTTAGGTGCATTTCTTATACATGAGAACAGTTGTCCCAACTGGGAGCTGACAGCTCCTAGTGTGACTGTCTGCTTCTTTGAAGCTCACGGATATACATAAGGATAAAGTTTGAGTAGGCCCTCGGATTAGTCTGTATTCAAAATTTGTTGTCATAACTTATAATCTATTCATACCATTTGTCCCATACTATTGTAGAAGAAATACATGAGCAAGGGAATAAGGACCTCTTAGAAAGAAGCGTCAGATGTAGTCATATTAAGACGAGAAAAGAGGTGATGTAGGTGACAAGAAAGAAATGATGAATTGTAATGTGTTTGATTATATTTCCTTAGGTTTTTTCAGGGTGATCTTGTCATAACTATAGAACCATCATATATGTAAATCTACTCGTATCATGTTTTCTGGTGGACAGCTCTGCAAGCTCTAACTAAAATTGGACGATCCTAGAATGGGTATGCTGAAGGTGAATAGACAAACCGGTTTGTGTTGAAAAAGAATAAATTTGTGATTATGAATGATGAAAAACCTAACATGAAAGAGGTAATCGTTATTGCCATATGGTTTGTAGGAATCGGTGAAAACACCTTGCTTTCATAATCAAATTGTTGGTTTTCAATTTTCCATTAGACGCTACATTGGAGTCTCAATTAATTCATCCATTATGTATTTTTGAAATTTGTGCAGGCATTCAAACATATAATGATGCCAAGCATTTTGCCATATCTGCTAAAGTACCTGAGTTCAGCAACAAAAATAGAACTCTAGTTGTCCAGTATTCGATTAAATTTGAGCAAGACATAGAATGTGGTGGTGGTTACATCAAGCTTCTCTCTAGCTATGTCAATCAGAAGAAGTTTGGTGGTGATACCCCGTACAGGTGCGTGAATAATTTACCTTGTGTAAATCAACATTAGCTCATGCTTTGTGATATTGAAGTCTTCCAAACTTGCTTATAGTGGTCAAGCCTCTATTTACAAAGATAATTGTAGAAGTTTTTTTCTATGTGATTGTTGTATTTGACATATTCTTATAAAATACTTTTCCAATCATTTACTCATTGATGTTTGGGTGGTAATAATAAAATCATTTTGTATGTATGACTATTTTTGCTACTTTTAAATCCCTGTTTTTTTTATGCAATCGTTGAATTATTAAGATAAAGCATGTCGCTTTTATGGCTGGTTGACATGGTTACTTATATGTTCTTTTAGTTGTTGCCATTGAGTATAGATTCCAAACACATCAGAACACATGTTCCTCTGCAGAAATGCACTCAAAGCACATGTCACACAGGTGTACCTTGGTTTAGTTAAGTGTGCTTAAGGGTTTAAGCATACTGGTGTTTGGAAGGTTTTCTTGTCCTTATCGTAAATGAGCCAACTCATGTCGGACTTAGACTTGTATGTTTCTGTATGCTCTAATCAATTATGCACAAAGAGAGAGAAGTATCCTCCTTGGTTGCATTAAACATTAGGGAGGACTGATTCTTCTTTATATTTCTTAGGAAGTGGCTAATTAGACTGCAAGTCAAAATCCTCCCAATAATGGGATTTGTACGCAAGGGGTATAAGTGATTTTTTATTTGTTTATTTTTTTTTTTTGTGTGTGATATACTGCAAGAAACGATCCATAACCATGCCCATTTGACCAATGGGGATGCTTATGACAAGCTTATCAACAATACAGTGCAGTCCATATTATCGGCAATAACAAGATGCACTTGGGGATTGACTTGGTTAGGAAGGACCTAAAAACTAATCATCAAAGCATATACATGCACGTGTATACTCTGTTATTTGGTAGTTTTGAGTTCATCTTGGAATCTTGTTGTCTTTCTCTATATCAAGCTCACATGCTTCATACTATTTGTTTAAACAACATTCTGTTTAATTTGGTTAATTGCTATTAATACTTAACAGAATACATAAAGAGCATGGTTCTGACTTCACGTTATTTTTTCTGCAGTTTCATGTTTGGACCAGATTTATGTGGCACACAGACAAAAAAACTCCATGTTATACTTTCCTACCAGGGGCAGAATTATCCCCTTAAAAAGGATCTCCAATGTGAAACAGACAAGTTAACTCATTTCTATACATTTATTCTTAGGCCTGATGCAACTTACAGCATCCTTGTTGATAATCGAGAGAGAGATTCTGGAAGCATGTATACAGATTGGGATATCCTTCCTCCAAAAAAAATAAAGGATGTGAATGCAAAAAAGGTACGATGTTATAAAGTTATGGACACTGGACACTAGTTGATGTTATGCACAACCAATCAATTTAGTGTTTTTAAGTTTGAGAAGTTGCTTTCATCAAAAGCTATATTTCTAGATCTGTAGACAAGTACTATGTTATCTTGTGGGTCTCTCATATATGTCATTATTTCTTTGCGCACCAATCTCCATATCATACTTCAACCAAAAAAGGTTCCCTGCCTTACCACAAATTATCTACTGACTCATATTGTCCTCACAGCCAGCTGACTGGGATGACAAAGAGTATATTAATGACCCTAATGAAGTCAAACCGGAGGTATCCTATCCTGAGACTCTCTAGTCATGATTGAATAGGTTACAATCCATTTACGTGATTTTTACTGAAATAGTCTGTTTCAATGTTGTAGGGCTATGATTCAATTCCATCTGAAATTCCTGATCCAGAAGCCAAAGAGGTTTGTATATGTCATGTGTTATAAATGTTTATAGAGACTATGTGCTGTTTAGTTAGTGGTGTTTAACATATAAATGATGTTCTGGAAAGAAGTCTTCTTTCTGTTATATGTATTATGTGGAACTATTTAATTTTCTTGATTGATAGGATTTGAGAAGGAAATCTACCTGAATGCGGTATTGACAACTAACCAACACCTATTAATTTATTTGCTTCTATCTTCATTGAATAAATTTGTTTGTTCATCATGAATTACTAAATATGTAATAAGTCTTCTGGAAAACACTGATGGTTTCTCAGCCCGAAGACTGGGATGAGGAAGAGAATGGAATTTGGAGGCGACCAAAGATCCCAAATCCAGCGTACAAAGGACCATGGAAGCGCAAGGTGCTTTTGAGCTAGATGTAGATAGCAAAAGATTGAATAACTCATTTGTTGATTTAAGTTTCTAATTTTTTATCCTGCAGAAAATCAAGAACCCCAACTATAAGGGAAAGTGGAAGACTCCATGGATTGATAACCCGGGTATGTTAATGTGTTTTAGAATATTTAGTGGCAGAGATGGTTTATAGTTTATTATAATTGAGACTAAAATACGCAAGGAATTTGAATTATCTGGTTAGAATCTTACAAAGAAGTGAGAATGGCAGAAAAAACATATTCTTTTGGAGATTTTTTGTTGAATACGTTCATACCAGGACTTGATTCATGTGATGAGAATGATCCACCCATTTTATTATTCAACTTATGGTGGACCGTGATTTACAATGTCTGGCTCAGCCTACAACAGAATGTATAGGCCTATAAGGCTATAACATATATTAGATGCAATCCTCATTTAGTGTCTATCTGTTTATAACTTCATACAAATGATTATGAAAGCCGTTTCACATAGTTTGCATTTTCTTTACACTGGTAAGGTTTGTCCATGTGTTGGTCTGCGATGTTACATATTTGTTTAGGAGTTATTGATAAGTATATAAATGGTTCGATGTGTCTAGACAGGTTATCCATTTTGAACTTTTGAGTTTGGGTTTAAAGAGTACTTCCTCTTTTCCTGTGTTTCTGCAGAGTTTGAGGACGATCCTGACCTTTATGTGCTGAAGCCAATTAAATATGTGGGTATTGAAGTTTGGCAGGTATGTGTAAACTGTGTTATGAACTTATGAGTTATGAGTCATGACTTATTCTGCCTGGAGTTGACAAATTAGTTTGCGGTTACTTGTGAATCATTTACATTCTTAAAGGCAAAGAAACTGACTGTTGCTTATTTTAAGTGGACAATATTAGAATAACTGCTAATAGAAAAATAAACTGCAACATTTCTCGAGCAGTTAACTTTTAGTTGTGATGGATTCGTTTACACTTTCCTTCATTTGATGGTTTTCTCTTACCCATCCAAAAATGAACTGCCTTTTCTGAACTTCTGAGCTTTGGAATACTTGGCTTTTCTGGAATGTGGACCCTTATAACAATCATTGCAGGTGAAGGCAGGTTCAGTTTTCGACAACATTTTAATTTGTGATGATCCACAGTATGCAAAAGAAGTTGTAGAAGAGGTTTTTTCCAATAGAGACGTGAGTTATTGCTCTTAAATATCTATGTTTGTCATTTATCTCAGTTAAAGTCTTTGAGTTGCATAACAATGACCACAATTTTAGGCTGAGAAAGAAGCTTTTGAGGAAGCAGAGAAGCAGAGGAAAGCTCGAGAAGAAGAGGTGATTTACAAGAGGCCATGTTGCTTTTTTAGTTTTTCTGAGGTCGTACTGTAGTGATCAAACAATAACCCTACCAATGACATCTATCTACTATGTTTGTTCATGTAGGAGGCTAAAAGAGCGAGAGAGGAAGGTGAAAAAAGGAAGAGGGAGAGGGATCGTGAGTATGGCAGGGATAGGAGGCGCCGTAGAAGGGTATTGTATTTCCTTATTTTGTCTCATCAATAACATTATTAAATCTATGTTGTCTCAATATCACCATATTTCTGATGGACCTAATGCTGTTAATCCATTTTCCACTAGTGAGGTACTGGTTTGATAGGTAAAAAGAATCTTTTCATAAGCACATCTATTCGAGAAATCGTTTAAATTGTGAATCCCCAAGGCAATCAATTCTTTAAGGGTAGAGAAAAAGAATGTAGTACAACATATTTGAAAAGGAAGTATATGGCTTAAATGTCGGGGTAGAGAAAAGCGGTCTGGGGGAAGCTTTAAGAAGAATCCCCAGACTAAGGTCGCATGGATTAGTTAGTGTAAACAATCATAAAACGGATAAAACTATTTTATTTAGATTTTTGTTTTGATTTATTAACTATGGGGAGGAAAGGAAGACGATTTAAAGGTAATAATTGTATTCAAGTTCGGCTAAGCAATTGATGACATCATTTATGACATCAGATATCCCTAAGATATTAGACACCTCCGAGGTCCGAGGACAATATTACCTCAGGCTATAATCTATCCCTAGTGTGTAACAGTGCATGATTTTCCCGACTTCCCATATCATAAATGATTTTCCACTGAAAGTCTAATTTGGGAACCTTTTTTTGTTTTGCAGCATGATCCCCATGATTATCTGGATGATTACCATGTAAGAACTAACTTTTTCTCTTTTGTTCCTCCCTTCGTTTGCTACATCCTCGTATCTCCTTCGACTTATTGCTTTCGTATTATTTCCCTTTCCATATAAGTGCTTACCAGTTTGGCTATATTATTTACCAAAATTGTCTGTAAAATAGAAACATCTCAGCATGAGAACCTTGCTCGTTTTTTGTTTACATGAGTTGGAGTAGGAGCTATACTGGTGCACCTTGGTCGCATTTAAACAGTATAGGTCCTACTCCAACTCGTAAACAATGGGCGTTTAGGCACCTCACCACCGATTCAATTGAACAAATCGAAGATTCCGGTCTTGATATCCTAAAAATGTAGACCTGTGACCCAAATTTTAGTATTACATAAAGTTTAGAAGGTTTTGCTCTTATTTTTTCGTCCCCAATATCTGTTTTCGTTGACCTTGCAGGATGAACTATGAGGAGGCAGGCACCACCAACAGATGTTCGCGATGTGTATTTCGGCTGTGGGAAACATTTCTAATTGTTAGAGAAGCATGTTTTATCTCGTCCGTTGGACATGCCTTGTGTGTTGTACAATTGTTTAAACATCAAAATTAAACCCTTATTAACTGCCAATTTTGGGTTCAAAAGAACCATTAGCAGTATTTAGTGGTGGATTGAAAACTATTGTATCCGCTGTGTTCTGCATGCTTATGGCTCAAATATAGACTTGTTGACTTAAAGCTTGTGCCTTTTTAGAGCATGTTTACTTACTTGGAATCGATGTTAGAGAGAAAGAGAATTGTTCTGACACGATTACTCACGCAAGAAATAAGAAAAATGTGAGGCAACCTTTGAAATATGGGAATGGGATCAAACAAGTGTTCTAAAAAGAGGTCTAGGTGGTGCTTAGGCATTGGGCAGTGGTGATTCGAGGTTTTTTTTTGCAAATCGGCTGGGTCTTAGAAGGGTAGGCGGGGTTTTTTTTATTTTTTTTATTTTTTTTATAATGAAACTAACAAAAAAAAAAAATAATTCATATCCAAGTCTCAGAGGGATATGGTGAAGAAGAGTTTGATGCATTGCTTTGTAACTTTGCAAATATCTTACATTACTATATTTCTTTATTTTCCTCATATTTTGCATTTTATGTGGTTTTAAATTATGAACTTGTTGTATATGTAGCATCCTACAATATTCCTCACTATAGTTATATTTGCTTATATGCTTAATGTGTTTCCAAATTTTGGACTTGTTGAATACTCTTTTTATATTTTTTTTTTATTCTTTTATTATCTTATTCATGGATTTCATACAAGTATAATTTTTTGTTAGTGTCAATATGCACCTATTTACAAGAAATTTATCAAAATCCGCCTACGCGCTAGGCGTCAGCCCGCGTCCTGTCTATCGCCTAACGTTTTTTAGAACTTCGGACCAAATACTAGCATAACCTTACCCTATAAAATAAATCACGTGTCAGTATTTGACGGCAAAGTGGAATAAATTTCTTTGAATCTAACAATAAAGGATTAATTGGCTAATTTCAAAAGGAGAGTATTAATCGGCTAATTTCAAATAGTTCTGATTAATTTACTTAAAAAATAGTTCAGAGCTCAATTTTAACTGTAGTAATACTAGTTCACAAGGTCAAACAGCAGTCTACTCTAAAAAGAAAGGCTACAACTAGTGTAATCCACCACTTCCCCCTCAAAAAGAAGTGAACAAAATTAGAAACGCCAATCGATTGGTTTTGGGAGTCCAAACAGAATCCCTACTGTGTAGAAACAATTTCAATCCTCATGAAATCTGGAAACATGCATTGTTGCTGTAAGAAACAAAAAATTTCCCCCCTCCTAATCTTTTTCAGTCTCGTATAATTTAAGGTAACAACTGCATCAAACAACGGAAGAAAAAAAATGACGTCGCGCTTCGAATCAAATTCCCTCCTGTAAGTAACAACCCTTCCATCTATACCTCAAACCCATGTGAATTTATGTACACAGATTCACACACACAGCTCCTAGGACCACTTGGTGGTTAAAGGGCACGGCTCCCAGGGGCCTTCTGCGCTGCATTTATGCAACGAGACACCAAATCCCGCACGGCCACACTAAACTTTAAATAACTCACCTTCTAACTTTTGTATCTGGTGTTCGGATTCGAGGTGATGACTGTGATCCCCCGCCAAGCGCAGCAGCAGCAGATTCAACATGTGTGAGAAGATACTCATAGATCTTCTTCCTCAGCCTGTCAATGGTCTCCGCTGAAACATCGGTTGTTTCAACCCCTTCTTGACTAGAACCGATGTTATCCAACCAATCATTCACACTCTTGAGCTGAGTTAGCATTCCTGCTATTTGACCATTGTCTGAAAGAGCTGAAATGTCCACGTCAGCATCTAGGAACCTCTCCACAAATCCCAGAAACCAAGCTTGTGACTGCAGTCGCAACATTTCGGCCAAGTCAACAACCTCGTCAAGGCCATTTCCTTTATTCCATTCAGGCAGAGGTGGTGCCGGCGGCTTTTGATTGATGGCTGATCCATCCCCTACTCGGCGAGGTGTCCCTGGTGTCCCTAGCTTGGAACCCACTGCCTGGCGAACTTTGCCTTGGGATTTTGTTGACGCATTCTTCGTAGAATTTTCTAGAACTAGCACGGGTTGATTTGCAGAGACTAACTTTTGGTTTTGAGAGGAAGCGGAAGCAGAGGAAGCTGAAGCTTTAACAGAGGTTAAACTAGATTCTTTACTGAATACAGTGAAAGATGACAGATTGGTGGCTAATGCAGCTTGTACCCAAGATGCTGCCTGTTTCCGTCTGTCTGAAGCTACCTTCAGTGCTTCTTCTGATGGGGTTTCTTCACCGTCTGGGGATGAACCATCTGGCATGATTTTAGATAGAGAATCAGTAACTACACGAGCATTATTCAAGCTAGCATGGAGAGCTAGAAACTGCTCTACTGCAGGCTGAGGGTTCTCTTCCTTGGCAGAGGTAGTTAGCTCTGAATATATGCTGCATGACCCCAAAAAAAGGACCCAAAAATGTCAGAAGATGATGTACAGAACTTAGGCTAAAAGCCATGGAAAACGTCACATCATATAAATTCTGGAAACATTGTGCCTCCGCAAAAAGAACCCAAAAAGAAAAGATCACAGATAAGCAGATTAATCTTTGTCACAATTAGAAGTACAAATGAAAGATGAGAAAGCCATGGAAAAAAGTCACATAATTGAGTACAAAAAGTCTAAAAATATAATGTAGGATTGCATTTCCCATAGTTTGATGTTCCAAAATTCCCTGTTAAAAAGCTTTTGATTCCTAAGCATCAGTGCCATTCCAAATTACAAATCAAACAAGAACAGAAAATGCAGAAAATATAAGTGAGCAAGTGTCCCATACGAGTTAAAGAACTCCATGGATGGCCTCTAACGAGCAAGCAAGCACCTCATGAGAGTATACTACGAAAGTAAACAGTATACCAACAAAAACGCAATTGAAGCAATCTAGCTGACTCATGGATACCCTAAGGATAATACTTTGCATTATACTGTCAATAAATAAAAAACTAAAAAAATAAAAAAGAAAACACTACACTACTCAGAAAGTTCTAATGACTGTTTCATATCTTTTGGGTTTGAATGTCCAACCATTTCTATTGTCCAATCACAATATCATATACAACTTCACTTCCTTAACTCATTTGTGATACTCAGATATATTATGGAAAAGAATGGACAAACACAATAAGATGTAGTTATAACTTATACCTCAAACATCGTAGTAAATTCTCTGCAGCAGAAGCCTCCTGCATTGCCTCTATTGCTGCTATTTGTGCAGCATCCCTGTGCCTCATAACTTCCTGTGATAACAGATTCAAAAGTATATAATAAGAAAAACGAAGTGCCGAGCTGTACAACAACAACAAAGTCTATCTTCAGATATAGATGTCACTAAAACTCATTCCTAAGGTTAAAGTTATATCCTTCTCAGAATTAAAAGGAAATTCCCATTCACTAACTTGGCTCCTAAATTAAGAAAATTGGGTCAGGAAGACAACACGGACAAAGCAAAACAAAAACTAAGAAATTAACACAAACTCATAACCCAATATGCACGAAAAATTTGGGACCTCAGATATCTGGGCACTTCATTCTTTTATAATATTCTCTCGTTCACTTCAGCAGTCTCTACATAATGGAATTTCAGAAGAAAAACACCATAGTACATTGAATAGGCAGGAAAATAAAGATTTATCCAGAGACAATTACCAAGCTCTAAGATGTTACAGAAGATATACCTTTCCAAGCTTTGCAACTGACGATGGGAGTGAAGCCCATGGAACTCCATCAATCAATTTTCTGTTATTTAGGGAAACCTTGACCAAGTTTCCAGGAAAGCCATTATTAGCTACATCTGATGATTTCTTTCCAACAGATACTCGAAGTTTATTTGACCTGTCTTGATCACTCAAAGTTCCATTTGTAGTAACTTTCTTTGTAGACGTTTGAACCTTACTCTCTTCTTTCAATGACTTTGCAGACATCTGCATCTTATTGTCCTCTCTAGGTGGCAACCTCTCAGTTGAGATACTTTTTCTAGGAGCCTGGCAAAATGATTACTCGAATATTAAATACAAGAGGACAAATAACACCCAACATTGAACTATTTTCCACATCCTTTGGAACTACTACAAGATCAAATCAAAACCAGTGAGAAAAAGAAAAAAAAAAAAAAGAGATTTCAAATACAATTCATAATTGCTGGCACATTTAACTTTGAGGTGTTTATCTCCAGAATCAAAATTTGCTCTCAGAAGATCCACCCAATTGAGAAAAAGGGTTTTTTTTTTTTTTTTTTTTTTTTTTGTATCAATTTGAAAATGATTTAAAGCTTTAAAAATGATCAATGTAACTAAAGTACTTGGTATTCATTAGTTACAAAAACAAAGAATTGAATCCAAGGACAAGAAACGTGGCCTCCAAAGAAATCAAAGAAAATCAACCAATAGTACACTTACACAAGTAAACATTCAGTAAAACCTAACTTGACATAAATTTCAAATTAAGATTCATGAATTATTGAACTTACAGCCATCCGAACGTCTAGCTTGGCATCATGTGAAGTAGCTCTCACGTTTGAACTCTCTTTAGTGTTCACCTCCATATTTCCTTCCCAGCTCTTCCTCAGGGACTTGGCCCCCATCTCAAAACCCTGTACAAAATTCTTTATCGGGTTTCCCACAACTGATTTCTTCCCAGGACTCGCCCCACGAACAGAACTTGCCTTTTCCACCACTCCCACCATAGGTGTTCCCTTAACTTTTGCATGCTGCTTGACCCCATTTGCAAATTTCTCAAAAGAAGTCGGCAACGAATAACAACTTGAGGGAGATGACGGGATAGACCGTGAATTGATGACTTCATTCTCGGCAAAGGTTCCCTCTTCATATCTATAGTTAATGCAGGTTTTGATGGCTGAGACTTTGATCGGCCAAAAGACCCTACTTTCTTTTCCAACTGATCCGCCTTAGCACTTCCATTCGGCCTCACTAGCCCATGTTTATCCCTTTCTCCGGCATGACTATTTCCTAATACCTTAGACTCAGACTTTACTTTCTCTACAGTTTTCGAACCAGAAGACGAATTATTGTTAAGAAAACCAAGAGAATGAGTGGCAACAATGTCTTCAGGGCTCCCCACACAAGGGTGTCTCCCTGGCACCGGCCTAACCCCGTGGAGAA